CATCCTGAAAGAAGTGGGGGGACAGATGGAGCCCTGGGAGAACTATTTCTTTGGTAGGGGACCAGTGCCCCCTAGAAGAGACAGGCTTCTCTCCCTTCCCATAAAGAATCTGGAATGTTCCATTGCCCACCCCACTAGATCTGCTACCTTATAAACTAAAGGGCTCCAGTGTGGGACATGCTGGTCAGGTGCAGAGTGATCCTCATTCAGAAGGACCTGTGGCAGGAAGGGAGAATCCTGGTGATCCCTGTCCTTCAGCAGGGTTACTATTGTAACCATGAGTGAGACCTAAGTTGTTTAACATCTAAATGCTGTGAATTCCACATCTCCTGGGTAGCTACCCACTCTTTGCAGGATGCTTTCACCTGAGATAAGCACATGGTGGCAACTTACCAATTACTTGTTTAGTATGTGTCTTCTCTAACAGAGGGGAGCTTCGCCATGTCAATGATAGCGTGCACCTTAAATTCAAGTCGTGTCATGGAGCACATACCTCCAGTGTGTCCTAGAGCATGGTTGTCCCCACTGACTGGGGCAGAGGTAAAAAATGAGTTGAATGGATGAGTGAATGGACAGGTCTATTCCAGGTTACAGATAAGAAAGTGAGGCTCAGACCAGGTGACATGCCCAAGTTCTCACAAGTCCCCAGCAGCAGAGCAGGGTTGTGCACCAGTCTGCTCAAGACGGATACTTGTCTTGCTCTACTCTACAATGTGGCCACTTGGTGAGGGTGACCAGGCAGCACCTGTGTCTGGTCTATGTCTACCTTTTACTGTGACCATGTGGTGAGGCTGATCTGCTTGTAGCCCCTTTGATCTCCTTCCTCCCAGGCAGAGCTCCTGAAGCCCCCCCTGACCCCAGAGCAGGCTCTGCCAGCATAGCCCAGCAGCCCTCACCCCTCTCAGAAGTGGAGATGACATAGCCCCTGCCCTAACTGGGCACTGCCATCTGCATGGGGCACAGGTGGATGGGGCAGGGAAGGAAAAGCTGGTAAACCACAGGCCCAGGGAACCCAGCCCAAGTGGGCTGCTCAGCTAGAGTGGTGACACAGTCCATCTGTCACCATAGCCAGGAGAGGCATCCAGGTCTTAAGAGTGGGGTCTCCAGGGATTTCTTGGCCTCTGGCCTGCTTCAACCCATAGCCAGTGCTGGCCCAGCACCAGAATGCTCTACAGGCTCCTTAGCCAGCCCCTGCTGGTACCCCAGGAACTGCATCGTGGTGAACTCTTCTCCTCTGGGTCAGAGGACATTGAGGGGTGCCATCCTCTCTCTATCTCCCTTCCCTACCAGGACAAATCCTTCTCCCCAAGACCCCATCAGTCCTTATCCAGGCCCCTCTGTCACACTGTGAAGTTGGTTTACTCTGGTGGCCTTACTCTTGGTGGGGCTGGAGAACAGCATGTCGTCACCTTCTCTAAATACCACAACTCCATGGAGAATGGATGAATGTGACTTGTCACCCTCCATTCTCAGCTAGAGGATCCCAGGCCTTGCCTTTCTTTGCTGATAGAAATGCGATAGTAATCATAGAGATGCCAGTAACAATAATCAATTATTGAACACTATTTACCAGAAACTGTGCTCAGCACTTCCTGTGTTCTTTCATGCACTCTTTGCAGCCCTATTAAGTAGGCACTCTTGGTGCCCTATATTACAGATGAGGAAACTGAGGTTTGGAGCCACTCAATGACAGTAACTTTCCCTGGTCACAAAGCCAGGACAGGGCAGAGCTGGGATAACACGCAGAGCTGCTTAACACCAGAGCCAAGGCCTAACAACCTCGGTTCTCTACTGACCCCAAAGTGTGTGTGTGTGTGTTGTTAGTTTGTTTAGTTTTAGTTTTGCTTTTCGCAGGGCTGGGGCTGGAACTCAGATCCATATACCTGCTAGACAAGTACTACACCATTGAGTGACACCTCTAGCCTCCAAAATGATTTTTAAAACTATTATACCCCCCATTACTATTCAACCTCCAACCCAAGCCAAAGTCCAACCCCCAAACAGACCAGAGCAAGCACTGTGGTTCCACCAGGGCTGCCCAGTGCTGCTAACCACCCAGGGAAAGTGGCCCCAGCAGGATATTTGCATATGATTGCAGGTGGCTGGCCTCTGATGTGTACCAGCCACCTCTCTCCCTCATGCTTTGAGTTTCATCCCCATGAAAATTATGGCATCTTGGTTTCTCTCTCCTTTCATCTTTTCTGATTGCTGTCATTGATCCTGGCATGTCCTAGACAGAAATACCCCCACTGGAGTGTGGGCCTGATTCTTGTGCAAATGCTCAGGCCACTCTGTGATTAGGGCCTGGTCCTTTTATTGACTAAAGTCACTGCCTCTATGGGAGGGGAGGGAGAAGGGGTCACATAGAGGGTGAGCCATTCCTTGAGGTCACCCTCATAAAAGAGGCTTCAGCCCCTCTGACCAAACCCATTTGCTGGAGGGCTGGTGACCTGAGAGTCAAAAACTAGGGGACTTCAGGAAGTAGGGGACACCCACCCTGTGGGAGAGGGGCCTGGAGGAGAGGGAAGGGGCTGGGCAGGGACTCAGAGGCAGCCAGATGTGCCAGAGGTGGTGGCCAAGCCAGGCTGAGGACGTGCGCCTTAAGTCCCAGTCTATTTCTGAGCAGCAAGTGTTCTGGATTTCCTTTGTGCATATTTGAGTGAAAGTTGTGGCAAGGTCTGCTGAGCTATGAGCAATCAAGGAAAAACTCCTTTTGTCCACACTCTACCCAGACAATGCTATGGCCAGTGAGAAAATTCCAGTAGCTGGAACCTGGGCTCAGCTGGTGTCAGGGCTGCTTTTGGGGTTGCCCCTTCTCACCTGAAACTTGAGTTTCTGGGATTTGTCTCAATAGGGAAGGCTGTTTCTTTATATGTCCCACGGGGATAGCCCTATGCTCAACCACACAGGCATGTGTGTGTGTGCATGCACACACACACACACACAGGAAGGCAAACCCCCCTCCTCCCTCTCCTCTGAGCCTCTGAGCCAGGCCTGAAGCCACCTTCCCACAGAGTCCTTGACCAAACTCCCTCTTCTGGATATATAAACGTGTCCAGGAGTCAGGCTGGATAAAAACTCTGACATCAGAAAGGTTTGTAGGGGAAATTCTCGCAGTTAATCACCTATGTAATCTTGGACAGGTTTCAAACCTCTGTGCCTCAGTTTCCTCATCTGTAAATTAGTGATGATGAAGAGTGCTAACCCCTGACACTTTGTGCAGGGATTAAGTAAATATATGAAAATACTCTGGCCAGAGCCAGGAAAGCATGCTCTCCACAAGTGCCCACGAGGATCATGAGCAATCACTCACCCTGGAGTACGGGGTGGCATGAGAGGCAGCAACGGTGGGTCTAGCACAGCATGCTACCCATCAGGCTCATGCCCATGAGTCAAGCCACCCCCAACTCCAAGGTTCAGCCCCCTTAGGATGCCTGTTGGTCATAGCAATTCGGCTGGAGTGGCCTTCTTCCTGGTAGGCTGAAGCCACTACTGGCTGTGCTGGCCCTGCCTGACAGAGGAGCATAGTAGACTTTGGGGTGAGGGGCTGAGAGATCCTCAAAGCAGAGCTTGACTGTGTGTGCAGTTACATTTTCCTTCAGAAGCCTCAGCCTCAGTTTTTTTTTTTTTTAAGAGAGAGAGAGAGAGAATTTTTTAATATTTATTTTTAAGTTTTCGGTGGACACAACATCTTTGTTTGTATGTGGCGCTGAGGATGGAACCGGGCCACACGGCATGCCAGGTGAGCGCGCTACCGCTTGAGCCACATCCCCAGCCCTCAGCCTCAGTTTCGAGAGACAGGTGGAGAACACAAATGTAGAATCAATAGTCTCATGGTCCCAGGGCACATTTGGGGACTGGGCAATTCTGCTTGTTCTGCATGAGAAAAACAGGTCTCCGGGCTGGGGTGTAGCTTGGAGGCAGAAGACTTACCTAGCATGTGTGGGCCCTCGGTTCAATACCCAGAACTCCAAAAACAAAACAAGACAGAAACCCCACAGCCTTCCCTGGCCCCACTGCTACCCACCCCACTTTCAGAGTGCATGTGTGCATGTATGTGTGTGCACATGCATGTGTTCGTGCACGTGTGTAACAATTTGCATGATCCATTCCCTCCCTTTATTGAAAATGCAGCCCAAGCTCCCAAAGGGTTCTCTTTACAGTAATCTTAGAGGACTCAGGTCTTAGGAAAACTTTTCCAGGGAGAATGTAACTCCAAGCGCACACAGCGGCTCCTTTTCTGGCATATGGGAGGATTACCAGGCTCTCCAGGAGCTATGCTGGATGAGGGCCACTGTATCGCTTCGTGTCCCTGTGGAACTCATAAGCAGATTTTGCAGTCTATTAATCTACATCTGCTTGCATGGCCCTGCTGTCAGCAGCTTCCGTCTGGGGAGGGAGCAAATACACTGCGAGAGGAACGCGGGCTTTGGAGCAGGCGGACTGGGGTGCACCCTGGCTTGACCCTTGACCTGGAGGACTGCGGGCAAGGGCCTCAGCCCTGCTGAGCCTCATCTATAGATTGGGAAGGCTGCTTGCGCCCACCTTGCAGAACTCTGGGAGGATCCGCGGTAAGGTGGCGAGGCCTGGCTAGTGTCTGGGACATAGGGGCACAGAATGGAAGCAAGCAGCTGTGGTGATGAAGACAGTGATGAGGGAACACTGGGGTCCCAAACCCTGCTACTGTCTCCTTTGTTAGGTTAGAAGTTCCCCTAATAGCTAGTGTTGCTCATTTCTTTTTCCTTTTTTTTCTCTTTCCTCTTCTGTAGACTTGTTACCCACCCCCACCCCCGGCCTCCAAAGAAAGTTGAACAGAGTACAATGATAATGTACCCAACAGACTGGAGCTATGGGCCTACCCTGCTCCAGACAACACACACTCCCAAGCCAGTAGGCCACCCTGTTGGGCTGTGCCCCCATCAAGGAAAGAAGTAGGGACGGCTCCTTTGGGGTCCAGTTCTCTCACCCTGTCCCAAGCCCCATCCCAGCCTCACCCGTACCTCACGTTGTCATGTTTTTGAATGTAAATCTTGTGGAACATCATGTCCTCCTGCTTGGCATTGATGTCTGCTTTCATCTCCATGGCAACGTGACGGGGAAGGACAGATAGCAGGAGCCGTTCCTGGGGAGGGGAGCAGATGAGTTTGTCACCACTCCTCCACCTGCCTGGTGAGTCCCCTCGATCCACACCTGTGCCCCTGCCTGCAGGGCCCTGGAAGACCCCTCAGGCTCTCCTGAAGTTCAGGGGGCTAGCATCTGTGTGCATGGGGAGGGCAATAGCTGGAGTCATGTCCCCAGGGTCCTCTGGTCCCATCTCCCTGGGGTACTTCCTAGTCTGACCCCTGGCCTGCCACCATGCTGCACTGGGAAAGGCACTCCTGGTGGACCTACAAGGACTGAGCCCTTGGCTTAGAACGTGGATGTGACCAGAAACTGTATCTTTGGGCAAACTACTGAACTTCCTGAGCGAAAAGAGGTTCCTCATCTGTAAAAGGGGTGGGATTACTGACAGCATTACATAAGACTCATCCAGCTGTCATGTGCCGGGCATCATTCTGGATGCCAGGAGTCATAACCATGTGCCTAGAGCCAGGCCAGGCTCCTCCTTCTCCAAGCCTCCAGTCTCTGGGGCCTGGGGTACTATGGGGGCACTGGGCAGGGATGCCTGGCCTAGGCTGAGGAGAACCGGTATGATCAGAGAAGCCTTCCTCAAGGCCAAACAATGAGTGAGTGCTCCATATCCATATGCGGGGACAGTGGCCCAGGCAGGAGATAGGGGAAAGCAAGTCGACTTGAACCAAGAGACAAAATCAGTCAAAGGGGAGGTGGGAGAGAAGCAGGGGGAGGAGGCCAGGCCACCCTGTGGCAGCTCTTATCAGCTGGTTATAGGGTCTGGATTTTGCTGCCTTCCCAAGTTCTCCCCCAGGGCCTGCCCTGCTGCCATCATGGAGTCTGGCCTCTGCAATGGCCCTCCTCAGCCCTCCCTCCATGCCAGCCCCTCTGACAGGCTCACTCATCCAATTCTCTCCTCCTCGGCCTTCATCATGGTGCCCCAGCCTCTCATTCTCCCGTCCTTTACTATGCACTGAGTCTCTCCTGCTGCTCTGTCCTTCCAGGTTCCTCTCCCTCCTCTGATGCCAGGCCTCCAGTGTCCACATCCCAGCTCCCTTCCAGGGTTCCCTGATCTCCAGCATCCACCTGGATGACTTGCCACCATCTCCCTATGCGCCTTCCCACCTTTTCATTTTCCTGTAACTCTTCTTCCCAAGTCCCCTACCTTTGCCCACGACACCCCCAGTCTCCTGCACCAAGGTTAATGCCCATGTATTTGCCCTTTCACTTCTGTGTCCTTCTCCACTGCCCATGTCCAGTTTTCACCTGTCTCTGGGATGGCGGTGGCACGGCTCTGGCCACACAGCCTCTCCCAAGCCCTCCCTGTGCTTATACAGCCCCAATCTCTCCAAAACACTTCCTCTGTCACAGCACTCTCCCGATCACCACCACATCATGGATGGACTCTTCTGGACCCGCTGAACCCATTCGTCCTTGTTCTGCACTGCAACCCCTCACTGTGATCCACCTCCCTCTCCTGTGCCTCGCCCTCTCCCTGTGTTCTCCCAGGACTGGTTGCAGTTCTCCTTGATGAAGCACCCTTGCCAGTGTCCCTACCTCAGACTCTCACAAGCCAGGCCACCTTCAGGTCCAATAGCCTTGAGTCAGGTCTGGCCTCCAGGCTTGCTGCCTCTGACCTGCACTCCCAGGTAGCAAGCAAGTGCCTGTGTACAACATTCACCAGACCACGTTGCCTTCTCTGCATCCTGAAGCTTCTGGGATCAGCCTATGCCCCCAGCCTGACCTGGAAGTTTCTACCATCTGGCTTGGGGAACCCTCCACCTCCCTTCCCAGAACCCATGAACTGAAGTCTGTACCCTGCTCCAGACAGACAGAAACATGGGAAGGCTCGCAGGCTCCCAGGAGCTTTGCTTGCCTTTGTGCATGAGTCCCTCGCCTGGAATCAACGCCCTCACGTGCTGCTCCTAACTCTCCTTTGGGTTTCCCTCCTCCCTGGGAGGAGGTCCAGCTCCAGCTGCCAGAGTCCCACCCTGTCCTGGGCTGCCCTCTATACAGCCCCTGATTACCTGGGCAACAATGCTGTCAGCTGCACCTCCTTTTGTTGAGTACAAGGAGAGGCCTCCTTGGGGACAGGAGCTGTGTCTTATCCAGTGCCACAACCCAGGGTCTTATACTTGGAAAACTGGTAAATGAGTAAAGGATGTGGCTCTCCACACGTCTGTCTGGCATCCCCAGGCATCAGGAAGCATGGCCACTGAAGGCCATCTCACATTTACTCAACTCTCTAAATTCCTGGCCAGGGCCAGAGCAGGTGAATTATGATGAGTTGTAAAGCAGTAATTATCCTGGAGAAGGGACAGAACCCCTGATGTGAAGAGCCACTCCCCAAAATGGGAAGAGAAGGAGCATGTCCAGTCCTCAGGGCAGAGGTGTTGGGGCCTGGTACAGGGATGCGATGGGGGCTTCGAATGAGTGCCAGGGTTTAGGAGGTGAGCAGGGTGCAGTGTGACAAAGGCAAGGTAAGCTTGTCAACAAAGGTCAGTGGAAGGACTCCAAGGACACTGCTGAGCAAGGGTCCTCAAGAGGCCAGAGCAAGAGCCCAGAGAGGGCCAAAGAGTGGGTGGAGAGTCAGGCCTCAGACACAGTGGCCACAGAGGCAGAGTGGAAGGACTGGGGACTGAGAATGATGTGCAGACACTGTGGAGCTTTGCCCCCTCACCTGGCTGGCTGAGTGTCACTGGACCACCCAGCATGCAACCAGATGGACTGAGACACCTGTGCTGCAGTGAAACCACTCTTCACTTGGAGTGGCCACAGCATGCACGCCACTTCCCTCTTGGCCATGTTCTCTGTGTCCTTCCAAGTTCACATCAGCCACGGGGCCTGGCATAGCATGTGGCACACAGAAGGGCCCCACTGGTGTTGTCTGAGGGCTTGGGGAGGCAGGATCCTCTGGTCTGCAGTAACCTTGTCTCATAAACTTACGCTTAGTTCAAGAGGTGATGGGAGACCCATGGCCCTGCTGGAGGCCCACTCTGTCTCCTGAGGTTGCTACACCCTCCCAGGCCTCCTGTTGGGGAGTATCTCAGCTCCACACTATCTAGGGTTACCAGGTCTCCATCTGATCCACGTACAGGAGAGGACACCGTGGTGACACAACCACCCCTCAGAACGGGAACAGCTAGAACCCTGAGGCCGACCTCAGTACCTTTGTCCAAGACTTGCTAGGGGAAGCCTGTCCTGTGATGGAGGTCCTCTGAGTGGCCTGCCTCCCTGGCCCAGGACAGTCTTCCTTTTCTGAACCAACCACACCCAGAATCGGCCGGAGAAAAAGAGCTGAGTTGGGGTACCATGGGCACTGCCAGTACCTGTCCCCTCCCCTTTTCCTCTTCCCTCCCTTGGGCGAACACCTTAATCTGAGCTGGAGATGCTGACTGCTTCTCCTCTCCAGCTCATGGGAGGCCCCGGAGGGAAGGAGGCAGGAGCTATCTTGCTGTTTGGCTTGTGGGCAAACCACAGAGCTGGGTGAGGAGGCTCTGGGCAAGGGCAGGGAGGCCAAGAGCATTCCCACAGAGCCAGGAACAGGAAAGCTGGGCTCCCTCAGGGGACACACTGCCCCTGGGCAGGGCCCCTGTCCGGGGAAGTAGGCGGGGCCCTGGCTCAGCAGCTCAGTGGAGGCTGGCCTCAGCCCTCTCCTCTGCCCTAGGATGTGCAGGGCAGAAGGGCCTCACTCACCTGCTGCTGGTTCTCCCGCTGCGAGTGGAGTCGTGCCTGGATGCACTCCCGAGTCTCCTGGAAGGCCTGTCTCTGGGAGACCTCGGCCGGGTAGTGAGTGCAGACGCCCACGATGTTGGTGCAGGAGAAAATGAGGACATTGGAGACGAGCTGCAGAGGGAAAGACAAGCACAGCAAGCTCAGGCCTGGAGCACTGATCCCTGAGCCCCAACCCTGATCCCCCGCCCCCTGCCCCCCGCTCTGAAGTCTGCGGCCCCCGGCCCACGTCTCAGCAAACACATGCCAAGGACACCTGGCACACAGCCGAACACCTAAGCAGCCAAACATGATCACTTGGGCTTTCGGATGTCCTGGGGGGCCCAAGCTTGGCTGGCCTGTGGTGGAGGGTGTCCCCTAAGGACAGGGATCATTGGATAATCAGACTGAATGTGTCCACAGTACTGAAAATTTAAAAGTCTGCTGGAGGCAGCAGCGGGACCACAGGAAGGTTCCCCGAGGGTTAGAAAGGGTAATGAAATCCACAACAGCACAAACTTCCGCCCCTCCAGGGAAGTCCTGGCTTGTTATCCCAGAGATCAGCTCCCATGAATCCAGGACTCGCTGGCCACACATAAGGAAGGCCCCCAGAAATGTGCTAAACCCTCTGGGGAATGGGGGTGGGCAAGGTGCCTGCCAGTGGGGCTTGGTGTCCTGAGCAGGCCTCAGCTCCCCCCACCTCCAGGCCTCCGCTCTATCTCTGCACCAGCACCAAGGCTCCCTGACAGCCCCTCATACCAGCTGGCAGGCGTCTGCCATCTCCCCTGCTCCTCAGGGATCCCCTTCTCTGTGCTGACTGAGATGTGTGTGTGGAAAAACACCACCACCCCTTCTGGTCTGCAGAGCCGAGGCGGGGATTCTTTTGAAAGGAATATTTACTGAAAAGCTAAGAGAAAGCAAGACAATACAATAGAACCCACAAAGGCAAGTTTGTGTTGCACATTTCAGAGCCCAGTGTGCCAATGTTTAGTCAAGATGTCTCTGGCAGGTAGAGCTCCTGGGTATCTGAGCATGCTGATCCTGGTCCCTCTCTGGTCTCGGGCCCACATGAGACAAGCCTCTGAAGATGCGCAGGCCTCCAGACTGTGGGGGCTTTGAGCTGCACCTCAGACCCCTCTTCAGAACTGGGTTCTTCGTCCCAACCTCAGAGGACTAAGCCTAGATCAACTTCCACACCTTCCACTGTGGCCCCTCCACCCTCTGGAAAGCCTTTGTTGAGCCCCCGTCTTGGAGTGAGGAAGGTACTTGTCCATTTGGATACCAAAGGACCTTCCTCTGGGACTTTAGCCACCTGGCAATGACTAACAGATGACTCCCACACTCTTTGCTAGGGACCACTTTGTCTCTGGAATCTCCAAGTTCTTTCTTTACCTCATGTCCACATTCTACCTGAGGGCTTTCCTTAGCACAGCTCTGAGGTGGTCCTGACTCTCATCAGGTCCTCTGCCAGCCAAGGCCAGAAGGCCACATGAGCTCCATGCTGGCTGTGGTACCATCTTTCCCTAAAGACATCCTAGAGTGTGTCTGCCCTGGTCCATGAAGAGAAAGAGACTTTTTTTCTCCTATTTCAAAGTCTGGCCCTATTCCAACTGAAGGATGCGCTAGACCCCACATACCTCCTGGATGTGCCTGCAGGGAGAGGGCCAGCTCAGGTGACCAGCTTGACAATTCTGCAGGCTACTGTTGCTGCCTTGAAACTCCCACGATCTCTGACCACCATCATTTTAACACATGGCATAGGAACACCTGATAGACAAGGGAAGAAGACCCCTGCTCTACAGGAACTTTCCTTCCACTTGAATGTTATAGGATGCTGATGTTTCCCCAGAGTTCATATGTTAAAATACAAATGCCTAATGGAGGTGGGGACTTGGGAGGTGATTAGGCCACCAGGGTGGAGCCCTCAAGAGAAAGGGATTAGTGCCCTTACAAAAAGGGACTCTAGAGCTTGCTTTCTTGCTCTCTGCTCTCCACCATGTTAGGATATGTAAAGACAGCAACCTGGAAGAGGGTCTTCCCTATAACCCAGCCATGCTGGCACCCAGCCTCCAGAACTGTGAGAAATAAATTTCTATTGTTTACAAGCCACCTAGCCTATGGTATTCTGCTGTAGTGACCCAAACTATTTAAGACAAGGACATTCATGATAAGACAGAAGGAGACTAGTGTATGGAGTACAAATCAACACGCCATACAAAAAAAGGGGTGCTGACCTGGGGGAGGAAAGTGGAGGGGTGATGAGGAGACTCCTGGGCAGGCCCAGGGGTGCTGGACTCTCGGTAAGGGGGATGTGTAGGGAGACTGGCAGGCATGGGAAGCACATGTCCCCAGGTTACTCTGTGCCCTTGAATAAATAATCCAGGAGCTCTGATTCTCCAGAAGTCCAAGGAGAGAAGATGTGGATCAATCTGGGAGAACCTGGCACAATTCTAAGCCCTGGGAGTCATGAAAGACTGTTGAACTGAGGGTGGCAGAATGAGGCTAAGGCTTCAGGGAAGGTTCATTGAGGGGAAAAAGCAAAGGAAGTGGGAGGTATCACAAAAGCCAGAAGCATGAGGAAGCAAAGACCTGCCTGAGATTGGAGGCCTGGCAGCGCAGGGCAGACTCAGAAGGAAGAACCCCTGAGACCAGGGAGGGGAAAGTCTAGGAAGAAAGAGACTGTGGCTTGCAGTGTTAACCAGTGCAGAAAATATGAAGTGAGACCCTGAGAACAGGCCTCTGGGAAGTCACTGGGGGACTAATAAGCAAGGAGTAATGAGAGAGAAATAGATGAGGTGAAGGCTGAAGGATGTTCTAGTTAGGGAAATCTGTGTGAAAGGGGAGAGAGAGGTGCCGGATGATAAAAACATGACTGAGGAGAAAATGGGAAGCAGAAAATGAGGAGCTAGCCTCAAATAGGACACTGCATCACGAGAACCACAATCTGACCAGTGGGGTTTATTCCAGGAATGAAGGCTGGTTCAACTTCAAAATGTAATCAATACATTTCTCTATATTAATAAACTAAGTTAGAAAAAAATAAATGGTATTTCAATAGTTACTAAAAAAGCATTTGACAAAATGCAACATGTATTCAAAATTTTAAAAATTAAACCAAATTAGGAATAAAAGAAAAATCCCTTAATCAACAACATAGACAAAAACCTACAGCTAAGATCATGTTTAATGGGGAAAGACAGAATTGTTTTCCTTTATGACTGGAAACAATGCAAGGTTGTTCCCTTGCACTACTCCTATTCAATATTCATAGTGGAGGTCCTAGACTATGCAATAAATTAGGAGAAAGAAAGAAAACACACAGAGATTGGAAAGAAAGAAAGGAAGGAAGGAAGGAAGGAAGGAAAGAAGGAAGGAAGAAAGAAAGAAAGAAAACTGTTATCTATTTGTAGACGTCATGATTGTCTATGCAGAAAAACTAAAGAATCTATAGAACACCTATCAGAATTAATATGTGAGTTTGGAAAATTCATAGTATATGTCACTTATATACAATGCTCATGTATGAGAAACAATGCAAGAATATCCAAAGGCGAAATGATTATGAAAGCCTTAACCTAATCAGTGGATTAATCCACTGATACGGATTAACTGGGTGGTAATTGTAGGAAGGTAGGGTGTGGCTGGAGGCATCAGGTCACTGAGGTTAGGGCTTTGGAGTTTATATGTTGTCCCTGGTGAGCAGAGGTCTCTCTGCTTCCTTGTTACCACGTCCTGAGCTGCTTTCCTCCACCATGCCCTTCCACCATGATGCTCTACCAAAACTCAGGCCCAGAGCTATTGAGTCACTTGATGATGGACTGAACCTCTGAAACTGTGAACCAATATAAACTTTTCCTTCCCTTTGTTGCACTTGACAAGTATATTAGTCACAGCAACACAAAAGCTGTAAAATAGTATATAAAATCAATATACAAACAGCAATTGTATCTCTACATGAGTAATGAACAATTGAAAGTGAAATTTTTAAAAGTAACATTTAAATAGCACCTAAAAACATGAATAGTATAATCTAACATAATATGTGCAAGACCAGTTTACTGAGAGCAATAGAATACTGATAAAAGAAATTTTAATATACATAAATAAAAATGGAGAGATGTACAATATATTGGAAAACATAATGTTGTTCAGATGTCAATGATCTATAGAGGCAACACAATCACCATATCAGCAATGAGAAAAGCCAAGATAATTTGAAAAAAATGGACTAAGTTGTAAGACTCATACTATTCAATTTCAAGACTTACTATAAAGCTACAGTAATTAAGACAATACAGTACTGGCATAAGTATAGAAATATAGGTCAATGGAACAGGATTTAGACTGCAGAGATAAAAGCTTATACTTATGGAGTTGATTTTTGACAAAGGTACCAAGATAATTGAAGGGAGAAAGAATGGTATTCTGCTGTAGTGACCCAAACTATCTAAGACAAGGACATACATAAGACTGAAGGAGACCAGTGTATGGAGTACAAATCATTTGTCCTTCCAACAAATGATGCTGGGATAACTGGATACCTGTATGCAAAATATGAAATTGAATCCTACCTTACATCATATACAAAAAAAAAGTTAATTCAAAGTGGTTCAGAGATCTAAATATGAAAACTATGGCTATAAAGCTCTCAGAAGAAAACATAGGAATAAATCTTTATGAGCATGGATTAGGCAACGATTTCTTAGCTATTATACCAAACACAATGACCCAAGGAAAAAAAATATATAAAATAGACTTCATCAAAATTAAAAACTTTTGTGCTTCAAAGGGCATCATCAAAAAAGTGAAAGGACAAGCCACAAAATGGGGGTTGCAGAATATTGCAAAAATATAGTTTTTTTAATTGCTTTTATATATTTGCTGAAAATAACATTACATAGTTATTTTCAGCAAATATATAAAAGCAATTAAATGGAGAAAGACAGTCTTTGCAAAATTCATATGACAAAAACAGACCTCCCAAACTATGCAAAGTTCATAGGTCTAAATAAAAAACCTATACTTATATGACTTCTAGAAGAATACACAGGATTTCAAGTTAAGGAAAGATTTGATTCTGGTTAAGCACAGGTACTAGGGATTGAACCCACAGTGCTCTACAACTGAATTACCTC